TACGCAAAAAGGACACTAATTTTCAAAAGATTGTACATGACTATATTTCAAAATATATCTTTAACGAACAGATTTCATTAAGGGAAAAATCTCTGCCTTCAGAATTGTAGTTGTAGGAAGACGCCGAAAAGACAATGAGAAAACCATTATTTTAAAAGGGCTCGATCCAGGACAAAGGTTGCTCCCCAGGTAGATCCCTGCTCTAGAGATAAAGGCTTCAATGCGCTTTAGAACTCTCTGTGATGGACAACGATGAGCTATTGCGCAGCCTATCCGGCTTCAGCCAATGAGCTTCATGCATCAATTTGTGTTACAATATAAGCGGGAAATTTTAATGCACCCAGATACCAATATCATCACCATGTCTCGAATCATTAAAACAAGTACATGAAGCGTTTTAAAAAAATGGATCTTTGATTTCAACTAAATACATACTCATGTACTACAACTTTATTTTTTACTACAACGTATTTTTGGCAAGTCACCGTTGAAAATTGTTACTTCAAGCCACTTTCAAAATGTTTCTCAACACTTCTCGCTCTCCAAACAGCATCGTCGGCCTGACTTTTCAAACGAAGTATCCGTGCTGTGATCACGTGAATCGTGACGTATCTGGTGCTGTGCAGAACGAGAAAAATTCGATGCGCTTTTGCATTCTGCTGGTCATCTGCCCCTGCAACCCGATCTGCAGCCAAAATATGACGCTTTCTTTGCTGAGCCAGCGTACTTCTCCGTTATCTACCTGCGTGCTGTCCTGATTAATTGGTGATTGGTCCTGGTTGTTGGTGATTTCGGGCGTGCCAACTACCAGGGTCATTGGTCTCGTAAGTGTAGTGTATGATTTCCCTGCGAGGTGGAGGTAGTCTTCGCCCGCGCCGATGGCGAGATCTGTCGGCTAGCGGGGTTTCCCTTAACCAGGTATCTCTCACCAGCAGGGCATCGCCCCAGCCGGGACAAACTCCAGATCAGTCTCCTGGCATGTGTGGTAGCGTAGTGCGTGTTAGTGTAAGTGTATGTGTAAGGGAAGAGGATAGAGCAAGGAGAAGGTAGGAAAGATTGCACGCGGTCCGTGGCCCGTTTTTTATAGTACTGCTTCGGCATTTGCCTGGTGCCGATCGGAGAAACCTCAGAAAACTACCGATCAAAGCCGCCGGCCGCTGGAATTCTCCAGACAGCGACAACACTCGACCTACCTATGAAGCAAGTGTCGAAAATCCTGCCACCGTCGGGAGTGTAACCTAGGACCTCCCGGTCAGAAGCACTGCAGTGACATCAGTTGATGTCCTAAGTGACCTCTCCCGGTGATTGTTGTCCTGGATTCCCACAGGGGTTGGACCAGAAAAGGTGGCTCAGGGCATCAACTGCTGTCACTGCAGTTCTTCTGATCTTAAGCTCCAAAATCCTGACGAGGGGTTAAAAGAAGAGCAAAATGTAAACAAAACAAAAATTACAATACGACAAAACGAAATAAATGTTAACATATTTACATATTTATTCTCTATTAATATGAATATTAATCGTATAATTATTTCAAATATTGACATTGATTCCCAAAATATTTCTTTTACCTTTCTCTTCACGCTCGTGGACGTCGCGGTTCTCGTCGTAGCTGTTTTATCAATCCCATGATTTACATGTATGACAATGCACCCTACTGAAACCGAGTTGGATTTCCATCCACCATGCCTTTTTAAGCCTTTGCACTCGAATGCAACGAGCAAAACACGCGTCTAACAGTTCATACGGTATCTCGGAGATGACTAGAGAAATATGGCTACCAGCTCGCATAAGTAAGTAAAGTGACGTGTCCCACAACTTGAAAGGAATCTCTAAGATGTCACACCAAAATACCTGAATGACTCGTATAATGTCTCGCAGATGTCCACGTATTTTCGTGGTGTGTAAAGTAAAATTTTCATTGTTGAATGGATCTTGGCTACAGTCATATTTTTACATAATGTTGACGCATTACAGTAATGTTATTGGATTATCATAAAGTTTGGCTTTTTACCGATTTGAAACAGTTGGTGCTGTATAATTCGTGAGCTGGTTGATATTGCAGATCAGAACTCAGGATAATAAATTATATTGGTCGGAAAACAGGCAAGTGGTGTAGGAAAATATTATTTTGGCTTCTGGATGGGTCCATTACCAATGATTTAGATTTATTTAGTAAAAAAAACAGTAAAAACTGTACGTGATGTATGAGGAAGAAGATTATCTGCGCACGTTTTCTTGAGTTCCAGAATTCCTTCCGTCATTTTGTTCACTAGTTGAAAGACGAGTAAAAGTTTAAAACGAATAAATAAAAATATTTTTTTAAAAAATGCGAGATTAGCAATATTTCAAAAAAAATAGACATTTTCGTTTCCGAGTCATAGAGAGCGAAATCGGTTCCGACCTGGAACGCGTACATGCAAAGTATCTGCTACGACCTGTGTAGTGATTTTTCATTGTCATCTTAAGGATGCCTTACGAGCTGTGAGACCTCGCAGTGCTTAGAAACATCCAGGAAACAAGACCTTGCATCTGCCAGGAAACTAGCAGTCAAACATCGCAAGCAATCGTACACTTATTTTCATTGGCCAGGTTTAAAAATGTCATCGTAGCATTCCCAAAGTTTGGTCATACTGTACGTTTCTGAATGCAAAAACTAACATACAATTGCTTATGTTTTGTAGAAGGTAGATGTAAAGAAATACTTTGAATGTGGCTCTATTCTTTAGTGCTCTTAGTACAATATTAATTAATAGTTGGGTATGGCATAATACAATCCAATTACAAACACGGTCATCTTGAGTAGTAAAAGTGACTAAAATTGTTCACGACGTACAATATGTGCTAATTTGAAACTCAACAACAAATCAATGAAATATGTTTTAAAAATAAAATTTTATATATTACACGGAGCTTAACTGAGTTGTATTAATTCGGGAGAATGGTTTCTCAGGGATTAAGCGCTACTTAACCCTTGTCGTATAAGAATTTAACTACATGAATCTATAACATTTTTGTGTACATTTGATGTTTGTTTTTTAAAATGTTATTCTGATCAGGGTGGTCGAAGTGTGACTTCACGAACACAACATGAACGAAGTGTAGACTTACATGGTAGGATTAGCCTGTTATCAGCACACGATCATAACTATTCCTTATCAGGTGAGAAGTGACACTAGGAGCCAGCGTGCATAATACTCGAAGGTTTGGCTAACGAGTCTTGAAGTTCTCTCTTCTGCTTCTGTGACTTCAGGTGAGTGATTGTTGGCAGAAAAAATTCTTATTGAATTTATTTTTTTTATTTATATAAACTAAATGTATCTCTAAATTGAAATATGGAAATGATAATCAGGATCACAGACCATTTCAATGATGTTAAGTCTATTTTAATTGTTTACAGTAAATCAAAGCAAGCTAATGAAAGGCTGATGTTAACCGTTAACGCAATATATTCAAAATTCATTGTTGTGTTAAATGTAGCACAAGGGTGTGTATTTCATCGTTTTCTACTACCCTCTACATTGGGAGCTTCTTATAAAAGTACTGCGATATACATTTGTGAACTATTTAAATGGCTTACTGTTCTGTAAATAATGCAAATTCAAAATAAAGTGTTTCTATACGTTACACAGCAGATACAAATTATAGAACAATTTGAGATGTCATTAGACATTTTGAGATGCCATTAATCCAATTGTATTGAAAAAGAAAACAAAACATTTTACATCTCAGTAGCATATTATCTCGTTTACGTACGTAATATTTTTCTTATTTTACTGACTAAAATTTTTTTTTCGCGAGTTGCAATCCATAAAGATATATTTTCCAATCCATATACATGTATAGCAATAACTTCGTGATATTCAGTTGGCAACTTCGACTTGCGCCAAAGAGGAGTCTTCTGTTTATGAATTTCATGGGCCCTGAATTTGTGAACATTTTTTGCTGCGAGAGTATTCTCTATTATATTATACGCAAACAATTCATATTCACCTCAAAATATTATCTGCATGTCAAGAATAATTATAAGACAGTGTTATATAATTGTTAGGATGTGGTTGTCTCGATTGTTGAAACATTGTGATCATTGTAATATCCGGAGCTGAAAAATATTAGAGGCATTCATTGCTGTGCAAAAGTCAGAGAAAAAACAGGAAATTTGCAGAATAATCGGTAGAAGGCAGGCGACATTTCCAGTAATAAAATAATCTATTATTTTTTAAAACTTTATTTTCACTCAATTTGTATTCGGTAAGAAAATATTGATGTCCTTTGTCACGATAAAATCAGACAGCTGACCTGTTAGCTTAAGGGTAAATGTAATATTTTCTTTCTGTCAGGTAAAATTCCAAGTATTATCAGAAAAAATAAAAAAATTTACCGGAAATCCGGAGGTTAGGGAACTTTGTCCCACAAATCCAATCCTCAGCTCGATATCTACATAACACAAGTGTGTGCAGTTTTATAACAGGCTATAACATCTGTTATACAATTTCATAATGGCATTCATGGATCAATATAACTGGCAATCTTACACATTGCCCGACACATTGTATGCAACCTATAATGTAATATGCTACTAAATCCATGTAGCAAACATTGTTGTGGTCTTTTGGATCTATGATCCCAATGCCGATCGTTTTTATTGTCTTACGAATAATAATAATAATAATAATAATAATAATAATAATAATAATAATAATAATAATAATAATAATGTGTATTTCCTACTAACAAACTTTCGCTTGGTGGCAGGGCTTAAACATATAAAGACATGACATACATATAAAGACAAAATTAAAGACAAGACTTTCTTTGATATTTTGGGCAAATTCTGTAGGGATCTCTTGTGTGTTATCTGAGTTCTTAATGTAGCTTTCATCCCCATCCCCTTATCATGTGTTTATTTAATATTTATTTGCATGAAATAATAAATAAATTTAACGCTTTATGTGAATATTATCTACAGTGTCTTTTGCAGTTATACAAGAAGATACAATCTCGACAATGAATGATCCAAAGCAATTAAAAGATCGTCAAGCATATTCTGCACTACAGCCATCCTGGATAAACAAGGCATTGATTGAACAAGCATTGCGTAATGACGGGGAAGAAAACCCTCAAGTTCAAGCAGTTGACGTGAGGCGCGCTCTCGCCGAGGGCGAAAACTACGGCAGCACCATCTACCGGGTGACGGCTGCACTATCTGACGGGAAAGAGCGCTCATTTATTATCAAAGGGCCAACTGTTGCTGGACTGTCAGAGGCAACCCAACCATCGGGTACTTTTCAACGAGAGATCACCATGTTCACTGACTGCATTCCAAAGATGGAGGTAAAGTTATGTTCTGTATAAATACGTGAGTTGTTTCAGGTGAACAAGAACTCTAGTATTTGACTCAAAATAAGTGTAATAAAAACTTTCTTTACGGTTTTGGCTTTATAAACATTAGTTCTCCTATAATGGATCTTCAATACTACTGACAGAAAACCAGACATGTTTTGTAAACAGACAGACATGTTTTGTAAACTTTCAAGTTGATCACAGCCTGATAACATTAAACAATTAAAATCGATACACAAGTTCAAGTGCCAAGTGGAATCCGTTGTGTACCATACCTTTTTCTATACTATTCAAAACTACAATGAGGAACAGAAGAAAAATAATATTTATAATAACAGTTAATCTATTATTATATTTAGACGTTTAATTCTTAAAAGCTAAATGTACCTTTAACAGGTTTTGTACCGCAGCTTCTGGGGTGATGACCCCCCATCTCGATTAGTTACTTCGTTCAGTTTCCCTTATTCTTTGAATAATGCTAAGATAGCTCCTTGTGTTGAGGCGGCGAAATACTCGCAGAAAAAGTTGGGTGACCAATTAGCAGAAGCTGCAACAAAACATCGCCTCTTCTATCAGTAGTTTTTTGTCAGAAAAGAGTGTTCTGGAAAAGAGACGACACACAATTGACAAAGATCGTTACTAGGAGAAAGAATTAGCGAGTATTGAAGAAATTGTCATAGTTATCTCTGTCCAAACGAAATTAAACGCTACTTTACAAATTTTATCGTTTTTACTTCATGGTAAAACTGCATCCAGTGCCTGGCACACCTTGAATCGAACCTTGAAGGCGTTCAAAACGTTTTTACTAAGCTTTCTGCACTTCGCCTCCGATGACAATGCGAGCTCGGGACGTCTAAAATGAAAATCGCTGGATTCTCAAAATTTTTGACAACGCTCCACATGGTTCGAACGAGGAACTGTCCAGGAGCTGATGTGATCTTTCGGTGACGCTCCGAAGAGGAAGTAGCTGACAATGTACGTCAAGGAACTTTGTACGAAAGAAATGAGTATTTGATCTTTCGGTGACGCTCCGAACTAAGAGGATGTAGCTGACAAACTACGTCAAGGAACTTTGTACGAAAGAAATGAGTATTTGGTCAACAGAAGAAATTTGCACGGCTTCGAAGCGCGAAGTTTGAAATGTATAATCGTTTCCTCTTGAAACGCTTTTGCTACTTTTCATTAATGTAGCTTCACTATCTCGGCACGTTTTCTTGAGCTCCATAGGGAATGTAATTATTCAAATATTTAATTAATTCACATAGCCTAAAAGGTTTGGTTCAAGCTTAATGAATAACAATGAACGAATCACTACAGACTTTATCCAGCTAATTTTGACATTAGCTACAGGGTGCAGGCTAAGTAAAGTGATTAACCGAATGTTTGACTTATTGCGTGTTTTCGAGATGTATTTTGGCATAAAAATGCGTTAGAAATTATACGTTTCACAAGCTTCACGTTATTTTATGAACGTAATGAAGGTTGCTTTATTATGTAATGGTGGGTGAATTTAATTTTAAAAGATTGCATTGTTTGGGTGATCAACGCCAAAATCCTCATAATAAAATGGTAAAACAAATAAATTAGGAGTATTAAATTAATCAAGATAATAAAGAACCACCAACTACAGACATCAATACTAATATATAAATATAGACCAATAAACCTAACACTACTCCGTACCAGGTTTCGGTTCTAATGTTTTAGATCACTTCTGGCTAGGATAAAACCAGTGAGGCCGACATGTAACTTGGCGCTGAGTCTCACCATCCACCGAACACCTCTGACAAAAACTGACCAAAACATGCAATACATTACCGCCGACTCAAATAGTACCCC